TATTGAAAAGGAAGACTGGTAACGGATGAACTGCAGCGTTGGTGGCAGGTGACTGGTGAGGCTGTAGGTCCCGGGGGAGCGTGTCCCGTCAGGAATCCCTTGTGGCAGCCAGTCTGGAAAGAGAAGCTCGTTCCTGTGTTGGTTTTTTTGAAGCCTCCTGCTGGGAGCTGAATTCTTCTCGTTTCATCAAGCAAACAATTAATGTTCTCCTTTCCCCCCCCCAGCCCCTCTCCCCCCAGTTACCGTGTGCGTTTCCTTCCTTTCTGTAGATGCAGATGTTCTAGGCAATACCACAGATGCACCTGCGCGTGTCTCTACCTGCGAGTGCAAGAATCTCATGTCATCTTAAAAAATACAAAAAAATATACAAAAAATATACAAAAAATATCTTTTTTAGGCCAGAGTTTTCTACAGGTATTAATGAATATTTTTCTTAATCCTTATAAGTTTTATGTGTTTAATATTTCTTAATACCGGTAGCATTAATTTATACTTTTGTAGCAACACAATATTTTTATAAACCGCCACCGCTGGCTTTGTCTTCATAATGAGGAAAAGTGCGGGCAGCTGGCCCCGCGCTGTACCATGTACTGTATTTAAAAGGTTATCTAATGTCACACTTGCTGTGTTAATAAACAAAACGAAACCTGTTTGAAGTCTCATGTATTGTTGGTGTGGATCGAATGACTCAATAGAGAGCAATATTGCACGGGGTTGAGTTGCTGATTTTCATTGTGATATATGAACACTTGAGGCCAACTCGAGTTCTTCTGATTTTTTCTTTTTAGGATTTTGTTTTGTTTTGTTTTGTTTGTTTTTTGGTTTTTTTTTTTTTTACAGCTAAATAAATTCAGTGCTGTTTGAAACTTAGACTGACGTCAAATGAAAAGGATTATTAAAGAAAAAAAATATCAAGGTGTTTAAATGTTGCTGTTTTTACAAGTCTGTTGCTGTCTGAATGGAAATATTCCACGAGAGAAGAGGAATAGTTCCACTTGCTTCCAAACGAGCTGAGCGCTCCAGGCCAGAGCTCGGTCATTTGGAGGTATCTTAGAGACATGTTTCTGCAACATTCTTTTCAGAGTTGATGCCAAGGCAGAAGACAAACTGTAACTGTAAGAAAGCATCCGTTGCTTGAGGATTTTCATGTCAGTGTTGTATTTATGGTTTTACAATAAAACAACCTTTAGGAAAAAAAAAAAGTGTCTGGGGTTTTCTCTTTTCCAAGCACGTGGATGGGACATCATCGAGCACCAAGTGTCTTGGGAGGAGGGAAAGCATCCATTAAAGTGACCTAAATCTCAGCAGGGGTCTCTTTGATGGACCTTGTCAGCTGTAGAACTCCAGTGGGATTCTCCCTGCATCCTTCACAGAATCACAAAATGATATGGGGTTGGAAGGGACCTCTGGAGATCATCCAGTCCACCCCACCTGCCAGAGCAGGTCCACCCAGAGCAGGTCCCACAGGAACGTGTCCAGGGGGGTTTGAATGTCTCCAGAGAAGGAGACTCCACCACCTCCCTGGGCAGCCTCTGCCAGGGCTCTGTCACCCTCACAGCAAAGAAGTTTGTCCTCATGTTTAGGTAGAACTTCTTACACTCAAGTTTGTGCCCATTTCCTCTTGTCCTGTCCCTGGGCACCACAGAAGAAAG